AACCAACTATGTGCAATATGTGCAATATATATATATATGCCGTTAATAACTGTGCAATATATACCTGGCTGCTAAATCCTAAGAACTGTTACAGGATGTGTATTTTGTAAATTGTGTAACTTTTTATTACATTATAACTTTTTTTTTTTACTTTAATACTTGTTTAATGCATGTAACATATGTAACATATGTAACATTAAGCTGTCTGTGGCTCTTTTTCTGCTGTAACAACGTACATTTCCCCTCTGTGGGACTAATAAAGGTATTCTGATTCTGATTTACAGTTTATTTTTATTTTATTCAAGTGTTAAGTTGTCTTGTTAACATGCTGCTGTAAAACAACAATTTCCCACTTTGCGATCAATTAAGTATATCCAATCCAATCTAAGCTATTCACTCATTGACTCGACATCTCAAACGATTTTAGAAAATAAGCCCAAGGAAATGTGTTAAAAAATAAAAGCCGACCAATATGAAATCACATGGTCTTAATATGTCAACATTGCTTCTGTATTTATATAAATGTCTTCAGGCTAATCCATCGGCATGCAAGCAGAACATCATGCATTGTGAGTGGATATATTATATCAGTACAGTATATGGCATTACTGCAGTGTAATATTGACTCAGCCTGCAGGTGGTGTTTCATGTGGAGTTAGGGGCAGGATGTTCTGTGGTTTTATTTGACCGTGCCGGCTCAAGTATCTAAATTAGTCTCTTACTCCCAGCGGGTGACGATATCCTCCCAATCCTGCTCCTGCTGCTCCTGAAATCCATCTGATGGTTGACTCTGGGATGATGAGGGCATTTTACACTTCCAATAAAATGACTCAACACTCACATTCAGATGCTGTCACGCTGAAACGAGTGACATGACAGCACATTTTTCTGGGATAACATTTTTAAAAAGCTTGCAGCCTGCTGTGTTTGTCACCGCTGGCATGCAGATCCAGATTGCTTTGAGGGGCTTCATATTTTTAACTGATACACAAAACAAAGAAATGTGTGGGTGCAGGGTTTATTTAGATGTGAAGCTATGTACATTTCTGGACTGATATTCACTTAATTTGATGTATTGCACTACTAGATTGTAATACACTTTGTTCCTGTTGATTAATAGAGTGTCAGGTTAGATTCACATTCCCCTCATTCAGTTGGGATTATTAAATTAAATTCCAATTTATTCTACAGGACAGATGAGCCTGTATTAAATCACCAAATTAATAAAGTTGATCTCCATGTTTCACTGAGTATAGCATTTTCCATATCACCTGCAGGAAAGAGTTTTTTTACCACAAGCAGGTACCAGTGGGGATTCAAATGCAATGACATCTGATTAGTGAGACATGTAAACAAACCAGACAGATGAATTAGATGTACCTTGTCAACGAGGTTGTTGACTCTTGAAAAGCAAGCGCCTTTTTGGCAGAAATTCAATTAAATGTTCAAGTACCTGGAGCAGCAGCTTCATGCACACGCTATAAAACAAAATGTGCACATCATTAACATTTCAGATGACCTTTTCTCAGTGTCAAAATATACCCAATCATGTCAGACAGCAACAAATAAACACCAGAAAATCAGACAAATATCACAGAGAGACAGAATCACATATAAACAGTGTAACCTCACGGAGCTTCACTTATTGGAGGCATTTCTGCGTATTTTCCCTGGCTGACAGTTGAATTATGTCCACATAGAAACAGATAAAGCACACAGCCATGCTTATAGGGCCATCTTGTGGCTATACAAAGCATTAGAGTCATTCACAAAAAAATTACTATTAAATACAGAACTCAAAAATAGGTTGCATGACGAAGGCTTTAAATAAATAGATTATATCAGTTAGTCTGTTGATCATACAACATTTCATTAAGAATGCCTAGCAGGCAAAAGGTGACACATTTATAGTGTGTGATAAACAACATTTTTCACTGTCTCCACTTCCTTTCAACAAGTAAAAGCAAGTTTATGTACAGTAAGGTCTTTTTCTGACACTAAAAGCATATTTTGTTCCCACCTCTCTTCTCACTTCCTAAATGGATTGTACTAAAGGGAGGCTAATCTCGAGGGAAGATCAATATAGGGGCCTCGGTGTGAAAAAAGGGATTTGTTTTGTGATTCTTAGACATACAATACAGACAAAAGGCTTTCACGTTAAAATGCCACAGTGAGCACACATGCAACTTTATCTCATATAGGGATAATAATAGATAAACAATAATGATGAAACAAATGTGTGTCCTTTTAATAACCTCAGACTAGAAAGCTTGTTCATAGACATAAGGAATTAGGTAAAATATTTGCAGTTCCTCATTATGTGACATCTCACATCACTTTCTTGTTACTGTTTCTCCACCACAGAGACCACAGAGGAATGTTGCCTGTGAGTGTGTGGTGTTTGAATGTATATAAAATATCTCAATACTGATTGTAATTAAAATAGCTGAATGACTCAAACTGAAATAAACACTACCTCAGCGACTTTAGCTCAGGCTAAAATTAACTAGATCCAAAACAGAGTGCAGATATTAAATCATTTATATTTTTTAGATACTTTACTTTACCATATACCAAATATATTAATTTGACTGTATACTGGTGATGTCCTCTTTGAAAAGTCCTTTAAACCCCACACACTTTGAGTAACTGTCACTTTATGGACCAAACAGACTTCCTTGTTTCATTTAGACCAAAACAAATTCAAAAAATTGCAGAATTAAAGTGTAGCACTTTAATTTTAGAGTAAAAACAACATTCAAGCTACACAAGATTTCAAGATAATAAATAAAAAACTATGTCAAGTCTAATATTACGATATTAATAGGGGAGGCTGTGGCTTAGTGGGATAGTGCGCTGAACTTAGTGTGCTTCGAATCAGGTGATAGCAAGTTCAAGTCCCACTGCAGTCAGCATGTCGTTGTGTCCCTGGGCAAGACACTTCACCCCAAATTGCTCCTGTGGGGATTGTCCACAGTACTGAATCGCAGTAAGTCGCTTTGGATTAAAGCGTCTAACAAGTGACATGTAATGTTATGTAATTAATAAGTTCATTCACCTCCCAGCTGGACCTTGACAATCATTTTTGCCGGATAATTGACAAGTAACTAAATGTAAACAACACTTTTCAATCTAATTGAGAGAGTAATACTGATACATTAACATAAATATATTTATGATATGGTTATACAATGACTAGTCAAAATTCATGAGTATGTTCGTTATTGGTTATTAAAGAAAGACTTAACAAAGACATTTTTGTTCCTGAAAAAACCCAATTTAGCAAACTCTAAAAATAAAATAAATGGACTTGTTGCACAACATATTGTAAATTCCCTAAGCCACAGATCACTCATGTGGCAATATTCACCCTGGTCAAGAGCAGAAATGAAACTTAAAAACTATTGGATGGGCAAAACCATATCCCTGGAACACTTACACTTATGATAAATGGCTTTAACTTGTGTTTAAACAACGTAGTATTTGTCCCTTTACTAAATGAAAATATCTGAGTATTCCTTCCATCCCCAGAGGAGTGAGGCTGAAAGGGTCTGACAGTAACTCAGTAATCTTTTAGCCATGTTTAGGGGAAGTAATGCAACATACTGAATCATTTGTCACACATTCTTCTATTTCCCAAGGGAAGCATAACTCAAGGCCCCCACGATAGTAAACCTATTACTGGAAATGTGTTAGTAGCCTTAAGCAAAATGACAATAAGTAAACCATTAATATAGTCAGGTGTGTGTATTCTAATACTGCTAATAGCCAGAGCTTAAAATGCCCCAATGAAAAAAGATTATAATATTGTCAAACCTTTTTATTGTAGTATTTTTAATGAGTTGTATCCTGTGGCAACCAAAAATATCTTTGATTTGATATTTTACATATTTACGTTTTGAGGAAAATGCAATTTTAGGTTCTTATGTGTGTGTCAGTGTAGCCTATTTCTTTATTCATACATTATTAATCAGTATATTCTATTTTCTGCGCCTGGCACGGAAGCAGTATGCTATTATTCATGCTCTGTCAACACTGTTGTTTTTCAGCGTCACCGAAAACGCGTTTGCTTCTTCTTTTGTTAACATGTTGTTATGGTGTTGTTGTTCTGAGTTTGATTCTTCATGTTTTATTGCACCTATTGTAATTCGCTTTGGATGAAAGCATCAGCTAAATGCAATGTAATGTAACGTATATTACTTATTGGAAAAGAGGACCTAGAATATAAAACCTAATATATTCAAACAGCTTTTCTAAAATGAATTGTGATCAAAGTTATAAGAAGTTGGGACCTTCAGTTTAAAATATAAAACCTAAAATATTAAAACAGCTCTTCAGAAATACAGAAGAAACCCTGACAAACTAAAATGAGTTGTGTTGAAAGCTATGGGAAGTTATGAGCTTTAAGTGTTACACAGATAAAGATGTTTCTTCTTCTTTACTTCTCAGAAAGGAAAGGACCTGTTCAGTTGAAAATACAAAATGTAATATTTTGTTCGTAAAGCTACTGTACAGGAAGTTATGACCTGTAGGTGGAATAAAGTTGTTTCTTCTTTTTCTACCTTGACTTTTCAAAGAAGGGGACCTAAATAGAAAACCTAAAATATTAAAACAGCTTTTCATAAAATTTGAAGAAACACTGAAACCCTAAAGTGAGAAATCTATAGAACTAATGATCTTTAGTTTAAATTCCTTTATTTAACATTTAAACTAAAGATCATTAGTAAATAAATAAAGATTCCTTTATTTAACATTTACCACTCATTCGCAGGCAAATATTTCTGCTTTCTTTTTTACTTTTTGGAGAAGAGGTACCTGTCCAGCTTTGAAATATAAAACAGATTAAACAATGAAAATTAAAATGTATTTTTTTCTACAGGAAGTAGTGACCTGACAATGGGCGGGACTTCTGCTGTCATTGAAGTCTCAGTGAACCCGCTCTCCCCTAATTCACAAACTGGGGTCAGGGGCCCCCTTCAGGTCTTTTATAAGGATTCTTGGGATGAACTCATTGCCACGGTATTATCTTCCTCTAAAAAACATAAATAACCAGTTTTAGAGTGCAGATATTTCTGTGTCTTTGCAACATAGCGTGGGGGGTTACACTTGTCTTTTAATTGGTTTCTCAGGGTGCTGCTGGTGTTTTATCTTCAGCTGTGGATGGCTGAATGGTGAGCCGTAAAAAAAGAAAAAGAAAGGAAGCTTCCCCTGGCAGGCATCTTCCCCCTCAGTCAGTCTGACCGCCCACAGTCCGGGGGGAGAAAGTGCTGCTTTGTGAATGAAGGGAGCGGCGGAGGGCAGAAAACAAACTTTACCAAAACCATTTCCGACGTTTTCACTTCCAACCGGACACGTTTCGACGGTGCAACAGGCGACACCTGGCCGACTAGCAGCGAAGAAAACACGGTAAGTCACGACGTGTTTTTAGAATCTTGTGTGGCAGTGATAGAAAGCAGATTGACAGGGGTTTTTTTCGACGGAAAGATGCATGCATTGCAGGCTGACCGTGACTGGAATAACTGCCATGAGATGGGAGATAATTCCAGGGCAGAATTTTAACTCCATAGTCTCTTTTTACATCCTAAAACCTCTGTTTTTGTCACAACGTGGTATGCTTACAGAGTGCATGTCGTGCAAACTAATGGAGCTTCTTTAAGGACTCATTTGTGTCGCTATCCTTAAATCTGTGACGATTTTAAGATCTTCAGGGATGAAAGTGGGTTGCTAAACTGCATGTAGTGCTCAGCTTGTTGCTATTAAAATGACACATTTGCATTGTATTTTACATTATGTGCACATGTATCCCGTTTATTTACAGCTAAAAGCATTTTGGCCGTTTCATACAAAACTTCCATCTGCTTTGCCAGTGTGAGTTTCGCAACATTTCATGACTCATGCATAAGACGTGCATTCCCAATGTCACCACAATAGACTCATAGAAGACTCATTCATGATATTATGAGGTTTCTCCTCCAGGGAGTCTGTTCTGCAAGTGGTAAACATAAGATTTGATTACAGTACAGTGAACACGCTTTGGAAACAGTAGCCAGTCCTTTTCTGTGGCTCAGATTGTGTGTCCCTTCAAATGAAATCCCAGTGCTGCTTCAGTTTAATAAACCACAGTGTTGACACTTTTATATGACTGAACTTTATTAGCTTTTAAGATGACCAGGTTTCACAGGTTTTAAGAATATATCTATATTTCCTTGAATGTGTAAACCTACTTGCAGATAAACCTGATTCTGATGTGGAAGAAGGCTGGGTGACAATATCATGATATTTCTGATGTAATACCCCACTTTGTCTGAATCAACACTTTATATTACTGAGGTTTTACTTTATTAGCCATAAGATTACCAGGTTTCACACGTTTTAAGAACATTTCTATATTTCCTTGTTAGTGTAAACCTTATTGGCAATGATTGTGACATGGAAGAATGCTAGGTTATAGCAAATATCATGATATTTCTGATCCCCACTATTGACTTTATAACAATAATAATAATACACTTTATTTAAATAGCACATTTTAAAACATAGTTACAAAGGGCTTTCACATAACACAGAACAACGGTAAAAATACACAGAGCAAGTGAACTAAACATCAGCATTTAAAAGCAGTTTAAAAATAAATGAAATGTAACAAAATAAAAATGCAATTATAAGAAAAGGGAGTTTTTAAATGTGACTTAAAAGAGGTTTTAGCTTTTGCAGGCCTGATCTCCTCACGCAGATCTTTCCGTCGCTAAGAGCAGGAACATTGAGCCTACAATATCTAGGGTTGACTATTTGTGCATTGAGACAATATTTACACAATGAGATTTCATCAGTAATGTTTTCTGAGGAATGTAACTTTTTTTTGTAGAATCTCCCCTGCTGAGGTTATTTCGGAGAAGCTGTAAATCATGGTGGTCAGTCTGGCCTGTGTGGCCTGTCTCTGCCTGGTGGTGGTAGTCCGAGGCGACCCCTGCCTCATCATCAGCGAGATCAACGCCGACAACCCCCGACTGGACACCACTGAGTTTGTGGAGTTGTATCACACGAGTGGACAACGCTCCTCCCTGGACGGCTACACCCTGGTGTTCTTTAACGGAAACGGAAACATAGCCTACAAGGTGCTGGACCTCAAAGGCCACAGCACAGACGACAGGGGGTTCTTCCTGGTGGGCTCGGTGGACATGTTGCCCAAACCCGCCATCCTCCTGCCTCCCAACACCGTCCAGAACGGGCCCGACGCCATCGTCCTCTACCACACGTCTGCATCTCGCTACAACGAGAAGATGAACGTCACCGCCTTCGGAATGGTGGACGCCGTGGTGTACATGACCCGGCGTACTGGAGGGGCAGAGTTCCTCGCTGAGACTCTGACCCCAGGTGAGCCGGCGTTTGTGGAGGATGAATCGACCCTGGAGGGGGACGAGTCCATCGAGAGGTGCCTGCTGTCTGAAGATCGCTGGGGCTTCCAGGTGTCCTCCCCCTCCCCGGGTCAGAGGAATAACTGCACCCCTCCTGCCGCTCCAGCCACCATCCCTGTGATCACCGAGCTGAAGCTGGGAGGAGGGCAGGTGGACGGCTTCGTGGAGCTGACGGAGGCTCCGGCTGCGGGTCCTCTGGCGCTGGTTGTGTTGGACGGGAGAACGGACAGGGTCAGCGTGAGCGTGGACGTGAACTTGGCAACATCCAGGAACGGGTTGATCTCCGTGAACATAGAGAAGAGCTTCATGAAAGGTCAGTGGGCTGTGGGTTTGTTGGGATCTTATGCTGGAAAATGTTATTTTGATTATGATTGCTTTTGGGTTGAGCTTTCTATTTCATCAGGTTTCACAAGCGGAAGCTAAGAGGAGCTTTGGGGAATTTTGGTACCTTTTCATTTGAGTTTATTTAAAGAATAAGCACCTTGAGATGAACCATATTGTTTTGAAAGGAGTCCTTAACAAAAAAAGACACACACATAGACAAAAGCTCTCCCATGCCTACTAATATACATATCCTGAATTGCATGTAATACTACAGCGCTATACACAGTATACAGTATATATGAGCATGCATCAACACATTGAGAAAGAGATGAGAGAAAGAGAAAGGAACCAAAATCATCATTCTTTAAATGAAATTAGAAGCAAGAGCAGGTCGTTTGAAAGAGAAAAGAGATGCTTTTAAGAAATTAAATGATGCGAGAGATTTTAGTGAGCTGGGAATTTGTTTTAATCAGATGGAGCTTTAAAATTGCAGGTCCTTATGGACTCTTAGGAAGGGAAAAAAAAAGGGGTCTTGGTGAGCCTCGGGCTATACGATGACCTATATGGAATAAATTACTCTTTTAATTATTCACTCACTTTCGTTTTATTATAAATTATTTGTTCCTGTTTTGATTTCTTCTCAGGAGATGATTCTGGGGCAGTGGCTATTTACAGTGGCAGAGCCGTGGACTTCCCCCTGGGCAGTCCACTGAGCCAGATTCAGCCTCTAGATGCGTTTGTGTTTGCTGGACCTGGAAACAAGCCAAGCGCCAACCTCACTGAGACTCTCATCCCCGGCAGAGAGCCCTACCAACTCAGCAACAGGCAAGACACTATGAGAGTCTCCTCCATCAAGTAAAACCAAACCAATGTGACTGCAGTACAAAACAAGAGGTGCAAGTGTTGAGAAACACATTGAAGCATTTATCTCAAAGGGTCAGCTTGTGACCATTGTTCCTCTTTGCTGATACTTTTTTTACAGTTTGGTGCGTCATCCCTGTGGAGCAATCGTCACAAGTAGACTTTCTTTCACACTGAGTCGAAGACATAGAAATTGATTTTGAAATTGCAAGTTTAATTCGCACGTCACTGATGAGAACTGAAGGTTACAAAACAATACTGAAAGGTTTTCAGTTACGCTAGCGTCGCCGTGAGGCTTTACTGAAGTGCAACAGTGCTTGGAGCAAAATGCTGAAGACAAACATGACAAAAATAATATTTAATGTTTAACATTGTTGGCAACAGCTGGAGCTGATGTGGGTTTCATTAGTGTTGCAGTCATTTAGTCACAAACCAAAACGTATGGACCTTTATTAGAACCCATGAAGTCAACCAGCTGGTTGCACTCGGATAAAATAAGGGTTGATTCATTGAGTTTGTTTTTTAATTATTTCATTTTTGTTTCAGTTTAAGAGAGGGGGGCTACTATCTGAGTCGCTGTGGTGTGGCCACCTGGGCCAGAGACCCTGGTGTCTTCTGGGAGGCCCCGCAGACCCCAGCTCAGCCAAACCAGTGCCCCTGGCCAAAGATCTGCCCGCACAGCATGGGTGAGTGCTGCATGACTGTTATTTATAGTATATACCCAACATTATTAAGATCTGTATTTGGTTTGATTCAAAAGAAGATTCTTCCTGCAGTTTGCATGCAGTAAGAAAGGGAATAGGTAATGATTGACAGGCAGTATGAACGCCCATCTGATTCAGACATTGTGCAAATTACATAACGTTTGGCCATGATAAGTAGGCATGAGAACAAGATCATTAAGTAGTGACAATGACTCAACAATAAAGAGAAATAACGTGTGGCTGTGAGAAAAACAGGATGAATCATGGACGCGGGAAGGGGGGGTGCTGAGGGGGCTGCAGCACCCCCATCTGTTGGTGGAGAGTTGTAACTGCAACGCCAAAAAGTTCACTAAACAAATCGATACAAAAGTTTTATTTTGAGTTACTATTTTTGAGTTATTATGTTGGTGTAAGCAGTCTATAAAAAGCTTCACTATATAAGAGAAAGTGATAATGCGGTGTGCGTCTTCTGTTGCTCTGCTATAGAAAAGAAGCTCGTCAGTGCAGACAAGATCAGGGATGGGAGTTTTGTGAAAGCAGGGTTTAACAACTGGCGAAAGGCAGGGGAAACATGTAGGGAGCATGAGAAGGCCCATCAACACACAGGCCGTCAACAAACTGGCAGCATTAAAACGAACACCGATGAATGCGCTGCTCGCACAAGCTGTTGCTAAAGACCAAATGACTGCATTTAATATGACGTTATTATACAGGGCCGCCCCTCCCTACACGCAGATCACACAGACTGCACACCTCGCGGATGGGGCCTTCTGCGAGCACCGACCCCCCCCCCCCCCCCCCCCCCCCCACACCCAACTCTGACTGACTTCCCGCATCCCTGGGATGAGTCATCTGCAAGGAGAGACTGTTAATGTTGAATACTTGGCACATTAGGAGCTACATGTGTAGGCATGCCATCATGGATAATTTCTAGTAAATGTCTTCTTAATCTTGAGGAACAATGGAATCATTCTCAGAAAGACATTCGTCATCATGCCCATCCTGCAGTCTGCTGACCGCGGGGAAATTATTTATTGTATCATTGGTCAGCTGAGGAACTAGGGAACAAAGCTACATCACTGACACAAGTATTACAAATTAAAGAACTGAGATCTGTTGATGGATGTTGCTTCAAGAATTAACCAACATTAAGAGAAATGAAAGATAATAATGAACTCAGAGAATCAGTTTCCTTGTGGACTTCTTCCTCTTTTCCCTTGAAAAGATTTATATGTAAATATGTAAAATGATTTGGATGCATATTGTAGAATGCAGCTAGATTTTTCAAAATATGAAAGTGAAAAATATGCTGCAAGCAGCCAGATATGATTTAAGATAGGAACACGTGGATACATTAACTTTTAAAGATTAAAGACCTTATTTGTATTCTTATTATTAAAGCTCCAGAACAGCTACTGAATGGACCTGGTGGTGAGATTTCTTTCTCAACTTCTTTTCCCAAGATCAGGAAAATATTTTAAACCTTAAGATCCTCAAAATCAGATCAGACAGATTCTGATTTTTATTTATTACAATATTAAGCATTGGCTGTCCACCCTGCCTTAGGTTACACCCGGAAAATACTTCACGGTTAGCCAAACTTTAATGGAAGAGAAAAAAAACGATTATGTGGGAAATACTTCTTCTAAATTCTCATTGAATTGATTCCTGAAAGATGATACTGCCATCTGTTGCACTTTATAGGTATTGTGTTACTGTACCAAACATAAAATGAGAGCATTAATATAATTAACGTTCTTAATGTCCCTTTATATTCATTCAAATGCATTCAAAACAGGTCCTTTTTGCTTAATAAACTCAATCCCGTTTTTGCCAATAACAAAATAGACACCACTCTCAAACATGCCTAAACAAATATGAAGTTATGGCCAGCAGACACTTAGCTTAGCATAAATTATTTGAAACAACTAGCCTGATCATGTCCAAAAGAAATGAATTCTGCCTAAAATAATCTGTAAAGTTATTTTAATAGCATGTTATGTGTCTGTTAAGTCAACACAAATACCACTGTGAAACTATTCCTTTAACAGCAGCAAATTAAAACTTTTCCTTATGCGTTAGTGACTCCAGGAGGCACAGATTCCCCTCCCCACCTCCCACCCTGGGGGAACGGTGACTTCCTGATCAACGAGCTGAACACGGACACCCCCGGCGCCGCTGAGGACGGCGAGTACATCGAGCTGTGGCACCCGTCGGGGCGCCGGGTGTCCCTGCAGGGCATCTGGATCCTGCTGTTCAGCGCGCACAACAACAAACCCTACAGGGAGATCAGCCTGAGTGGACACTACACCACCTCTAAGGGCTACTTCCTGCTGGGCAGTGACAGGCTGGTGCCGGCTCCGTCGCTCCGCCTGCCCCCCAACACCATCCAGAACGGGCCTGACGCTGTGGCGCTGTATCGAAGCCCCTACGGCCCCCCGTCCGCCTCACAGAGGGGCATCCCCACCAAAGGGCTCATGGATGCGGTGGTGTACCGGCAGAGGGGGTCGGATAAGGAGGCGCAGGATCTGAGTAAAGCTCTGACCCCGGGACAGCTCCCTCTGCTGGAGGACCCCGATGTTCTGCCCGGAGACGAGGCCCTCAGTCGCTGCAGGGGCCTCTACCCGTACGACCTGTCCGCTTTCTCTGTGAGTGCAGAGGTTTCTCACAGCATGATGAATTCAAACACTTTGTTAGTACTAACTCTGATGTGGCCAAGTGGCAGAAACACAAGATTGTGGAAAACATATTTAATTAAATAATGTAGGGAAAGGGAAGTTTACTTATTCACCTTTTTGCTGGGAAATAGATGAGAATACAGCTACCGCTCATATTTATGAATATGATGCTAGGTCTGGTTAGCCTAAGTCAGCACAAAGACGCAGGCAAAGAAAATAATCATGGTACGTGTAATTTTAGTATGTACAAATGTTTAAAATATATAAACGTACAAATAAATAAACACAAATACAAATTGGACGAAAAATAAATACAATCAAAAATAACTAAATGAATAAACTAAGAAAAAACTAATACATACAAAGTGAAAATTGAATAAAGAAAATCAAAATTAATAGAATTTTTAATAAAAGAAAGAAGGGATAAGTCCGGTTTGCAACAGACCCAGTGTCAATAGCCGTAAATTGCTTCTATAACTTTCCGGAAATGTATTTTCACCAAAGGCGATAGTTCAGGAAGTTTTTAAACAAAACCTTAACAAAGTGTTTTTTCTGTTATTGCACCCATATCCAAAGTGATGCAGCTGTTCCTTATGGGATTCTTTCAAGACATTTTTCAACCATAAATGTTTAAATTCATCAATCTCTGCAGGTGGCTCCGCCCACGCCTCTGAGGGAGAACATCTGCCCCCGCCCGCCTCCCGCCCCTGAGGGTGTGGTCATCAGCGAGGTGGCGAGCAGCCATTGGACCAATCACAACCAGCAGAGGAGCTTTGTGGAGCTGCACGGCCCCCCCAGGACAGACCTGCGGGGCCTGGTGCTCTCCGTGTTCGATCAGGAGCACAGCGGCACCGTCATCGCGATGCCTCTCACCGGCTCTGTGGACGACGATGGACTCTACGTGGTGGGAAATGTCACCGGAGCAGGTGAGGGCAGGAGGAGGTCTTGTTGTCTTTCTTCTCACTTTATTAATAATAGTGCACTCTGAATAGTCTCTCCCACACACTCTCTCTGTGTCTTTGTTTTCTTATTTGACTTGTTTTGAAACTATACCACTGTTGTGCAATGACACTGCTCATGTGCAATAAACTAGTACTGAAGATGAATCTGAATATTTTCAGAAATTGCAAAAATGAACTTGTGCAATATTTAAATGTATTAAAACACAATTTTTTATAAAGTTTTGAAGCTGGGGAATTATCCCGGCCTGCAAATCATATTCTACAGACTCAACAAAACCAAATTGTTTGCAAAAAATCCTTTAAACAAACACACCGTAATAATGTAATGTATTTAGGAATCATGATAAGAGTTAGGATTCAAAAACGACCGATCCCTCCTATGTCGTGAATCATACCGCAATTGCAATATCAGTAATCAGTTTTTCTTTAAACACGTTATTATTGTAATCACTGCTTGCCTCTTTATGTATACCATAGTTTTATGCCTATTTTAATATGATAACGTGTGTTTTAATAGATATGTTAGCTTATTTATTTTGTATTCATTTAACTTTTGTCCTGTAACAATGTAAATGTCCCTGCTAGGAATCAAGGCTTTCTGATTGATTGTCTCACCACGCCTCCCCTCTCTCCTGCTTAGATCAGACGTTTCTGGAAGGTTCTTCAGTGCCGGCCCGAGGAGCGGTGGTCCTGTGCTACGACCTGTTCAGTGTCTGCAGAGCCGGCACAGCGCTGACCAACTCCAGCCTCAGAGACGTGCTGGTGTTCAGTGAAAACCAGCAGCTGCTCTCCTCTCTGTCGTCCAGCAGAGGGAGACAAGTGATCCCAGCTGCCAGGTGAACACAGCATGAATCACTGAGAGCTGTCACGTTCTTAAACTCAATTAGGGCTTTAATCAAACTGCTGTAGAGGCGTTAACCTTATTATCTTTTCCCAGCTTCTTCTCTTTTAACCAAAGATTACCATGGCAACTTTTTCTGCAGTGCTAACTAAGGCACGCTAAACTAAAAAAAGACAAAACCCATTAGATTAAAACAAATCCACTCGCCTACATACCAGGGTTTCCGTTAGCCGGTAATTACCGTTTTTTAGCTGGTAACATTTATTAAAAACCGGTAAATTCAAAATGTCCGGTAATAATTAGGGATGCTCCGATCGATATTCACTCTTAATAGTTTGATCGGTGCTCTCTATAAAGGCCGATCAGGAGAGCTGGATCTGATCGATATGGACATAAACGCGAGTGAAGTGTAACCGGACGCGAGAGAGAGAGAGATCAGATCAGCTGCTGCATAATCAGCTGAAGCCCCGCCCACTGTTTAGCGCGCTGCATGAGAAACTGACGGGCTGGCAGGAGAGAGAGAGAGAGAGAGAGAGAGAGGGAGGGAGAGGGGAAAAGAGAGGATCCGTTTCCCCCGTGTTATTATTCAAAGTTAATGTAAACTTTTGAATAATGTACTTCATCTACTACAAGTAGTTTGTTTGAATGTAATAATTATGTTGTTTGTTGTTTGTGGAATCATTTATTGAAAAATAAATCTGAATTGCACGTAATTGTAGTCTTCCACAAGGTTGCTGTGAGTAATAACAAAAGTAATGTTCATTCTTAATGTTAGATGTTTGCTAACATGTTAACGACACGTGAGGATACTGTGAGAATATTGTGCTGCATTGCTCTCCCTAACGCTCTCGTCTCGTCCTGCCACATCGCTCGTGTGTTTTGGGGGATATTTTTCTGTGTGGTACTTTCAAAATCTAGCTTATTCTTGCTGGTTGAACACTTCAGCTTTACTTGATTAGAGCAGCGTGAAACTGTGTCAGATAAACACCTTTTCAGGGGTTATTTGCAGGTGGGGGTAAATAATTCAATCAGTCACAATCACCTGGGGATGTGACCACTTCTACTAAACTATTTCTTGCGGTAAACTCTGGATTTCCGATGGTGATTGGCTAGTTTTTTTCCTATTTACAGCAGCAATCGTATTCAATCACCAGCTAACAGACTGCTTTGTACATAGTCATTTAAAGTTCAGGTTAACAGAGGCACTTTAGATGATTACCCAGGGTTAACAAAATTAGACTCAATGACAAACACTCATTTTGTTACATAGGCTCTGAATTATGTATTTTATACAGAGTGTAAATATTGCAAAGTGCAGTTAATCATGTTTGTTTATTCAAGGAATCTATGTAGGCTTAATGTTTTGTGTTATCCATTTAAATGATGCAAAATACATGATGGGCTTACACTAATTTGTGTGCATGGAAACCTTCATTCTGTTTGACTTAATATCTTATTTTTTGCTTTTTTCTTGCTTTTCGCTAACACACAAATATGTTTGTATTTTTAAAAAAAATGTGCAGGTCAGTGGAAGACGGTCCTGTGTCGCTCAGTCGGTGTTCGTGCTGCGAGGTGAGGAGCCCCTCCTCCTGGACCACCTCCTCTCCCACTCCTCACAGCACCAACCTCTGTCCCAGCTCCGCCTTCTCCAGTCATATCGACCTGTGCCTCGGCCCACTGCCCAGCGACGCACAGCCGCAGCCGCCCGGAGGTGAGAATACAATGTAGAAAAATACTATGGAGCAAGAATAGAGGGTGTAAAGCTCATAGAGGCATTCCTTAAAAAAAAAAAAAATGCACATAGTCTTAAATTGCATTAACAACTTGAAAAGATATAGCTATGAAGTGTGACCTGGTGCCTTGTGACGGTGGAGCTCTCTCCCTATAGTCATCCGCTCTGCAGTCTCTGTAGAAGCTTTTAAAAAAACTACTGAAGACCTATCTTTTTACATTGGCTTTTGTTTGTCTACTTGAAATGTGTGTGATGTGTTCTGTTATTATGTCTGTTCCTTTCAGGACTCCACGTTTGTTTTTATGTTGACCTTACATTTCTGCCTCATGTGGTTATTGTATTCATGTTTCTGTGGTCTTAATTTTAACTTTTGTTCTTACTTGTGAAGCACTTTGTGAATTCTATTACTGCGAAAGGTGCTATAATAAATAAACGTTATTATTATTATTTTGTTAAAAGAGACACTTTACAACTAGGTACATCAGACTGATTACCCAGGGTCACACAATTAGGCTCAAGGGGTGCAATAAGTGTGGTTTCAGACCTCTGAATTATGTATTTATATCAAGTTTAAACAATGCATAGTGCCGTTGAATGGTATCCATTTCAGTTTATTAATGGAATACATGTAGCTTTAGTTTTGCCATATTAACATTACTATGATTATATGCAAAATTCATTATGGCTGTAACGTAAATGGTATGTGTTTCTTGTTGAACCCAGTTTGTGATTTTTGCATGTCATGATCCTCTTTCTATTCTTAGTCTTAATCTTAATTGTACAGTTTCTTATAAAGGTTAAAATGCCCAAACGTTGTTTTTAGGAAGACCGCAAAAACAAACCAATAAACACAGACCCTAAATGTGTGAGAATTTTAAACCGAACATGTTGGTGTTTTTTCTGACAAAATGTTACAGTATCTGTTCGGTCAAAACACAGGAAATATGTCTTTTTATAAAAGTGTTATATTTGTCTCTGTTTCTCCCAGACTGCAGTGGTCTGATCCAGGGCAAGAGGGTCGCTGAAGTGGCCGAATACCTGGAGCAAAAGTGTCACTGTGGCATCTCCGCCTTGTATCTCCAAGGTGAGGAACTTCCCTCTCAGGATAAATCCATCACATATGGCAGATTATTTTGAATGCAAGAAATGTGTTTTTTCTGTGAGAAGAAGGAGATGATTACAGACCTCTGACACTCAGAGAAGAATATGAAAGCAATCAACCTCACTTCACTGTTACCATGGAGCTCTAAAGTTGTCCTAAATAACTGTTATTATGTTCAGGCAGACGCTTTTGGAGAGTACGTATTTAGGATTTCAAATTGTAGAGGCCGTTATACACCTGTGGAAACATAAAGGAACTCAGGAGCCCTGCTGCGGCTACTTCTCGTGTAACATTATCCGGCAGCGTTCATATATAAGTACTTTGTTGTGTTTTTCTGGGTTAAACTTGCACATGTACAGTATTTAATGAGAGATTGTTCTGTTTGTGCTCAAGGAGCCAACTTTTCCTGTGTGTCTGGATGGCTGCGAGTGTGGGGGAACATCCAGGCGCTGTCGGACCACCAGAAGGCCCTCATCATCCAGACGTCCCACACCAGTCCTTCATCCGCTCAGGGAGACTTCTGCTCCGCTCCAACCACGGGACGCTACTCAGGCACAGGTTAGCAAAAATCAGTTCTTCTTAATGTTCATGTTGTCTAAAATGTTTGACTTCTCCCAATATGACTTACGGGAGATGTATGTGCAGTTCCCTTAAATCTGAAATTCAAATGTACCCCCCCGCAAGCTTGATTTGGTACATCCCAATATAAAAAACAGAAGACTGTGGCCTTTTCTTGCAAGTAAACATCCAAAATCATATGCTCCTGTCTCCAGGCTTTTCCTTGAGATATCCAGAACATTATACAATGATTAGTTTTAGGGGACACAACACCAATTTCTCTCTAACAACCTGTTTCTTTTGTGCTCTTAACACATCACCGGCATATCGAACCTGAAACCCTCTGGTGTAGAGCAAAGTTGTCAGTAGAGAGAGTAAGAGTTTGCTATAACATGATTAACGTTTTTGCAGCAAACCTGTGCATGGAGCCAATATGTTCTTTCCATATCTCCCCAAACTCCTACTAGATATTCATGTTTTACAACCAGTTGTGCTTTATTTGCCACTGTTACAAGCCAAACAACACAAACAAATGTAAGATGACAACTACACTAATCATTCACATACTCCTGCTAGCCATAACAAAGTCATCATCTAAGTAAAAAAAATTTCGCTGAATCTCTCTGATGTTTACGGAGAAAAATGACCAAACCCACTGCTCTGGATAATTGAGAAAGAGTAGAAGAAGTGAGAAGAAAAAAGAAGCAGGGGCAAGTGTGGAATTGGAATAGTGGTGTGAAGGCATTTAGGCACAAACATGCAATATCTGTGCTGATTGAAATGTTCAATAGATGATTGAATTGCTATTTAAACGTGTTGACTTGTTTATAGAAGTGTAACCAGATGTTGATGTTTCTCTCTCCTAGCGTCCGCCCTGGGCTTACAGATCGGGCTGATCGTAGCGGTGCTCCTGCTGCTGGGACTGGGCGCAGCTTTATTCACATATTTCTACAGGAGGAGGTGAGCACGCTTGACTTTCCTCTGCTGTCTTCCTCTCTTATTGTCTGCTGGGCGTGCACGCTGATCACAGATCTCTCTTTTCACCATGTCAACAGCATTTCATTTCCTTATTCTCTGATCATTTGCCATAAATCATCACAAAGCCAGATGATTAACATTTGCTTAATCTTTTGACGTCAGAAATGAAGAGTGATGGAGTGTTGTGGACAGCATATTTAGAAATAAGTGTTGGTAATTGAGATGAAATGATAACAATTTAGCCCCATTGTTGGGAGTCTAGCGCTGGAAATGTGTTGCTTTGTTTCTTTTTCACACAGCTCATTGCCATTATTCCCGTCTTTAGATGACTTCTTCAGAAAAGACTTTGGGTCTATTATAGAAAAGTCACTCTCAATTTGTGCCTCTCTCTTGACGGGTTGCACACGTCTGAATTCTCAGTGGAAGAAAATATAAAGTAGCAGTGCATGGAAAGAACATCTTAAGTCATTTATTGTAAAATAGTGGAAATGCTGTAATAACAATATTATATAATATACAGTATAATGAAAATATGCAACATATACATGATTTATTTGACTTCTGAGTGTTGGTACGCCAGCAGATGATTAGCTCTGTCCACCGTATAGACTGAAATAAGAAGGAAACGGCTAGTTTAAAAACAGACCACGACAGCATTATCAGTTTCTCTGGTTTTACTATTTAAAGGTATGTGTTTTTAGTCAAACTTAATTTTATTCTATAAACTATACGGACAACATTTCTCTGTGTTAGTGTTATTCAACAGGCTGCCATAAATGTAGAGATTGAGGTTTAAGAAACATTTGGAGTGGACTTCCAGACCTGTAGCTAACCTAGAGCAGGGGTCTGCAACCTTTACTCTTTCTCTCCTTCTGCCACCAAATTAAGTTTGTCTGGAGCCTCCTAACATATTTGATAACAGAGCTTATTTAAGGTTTTATATATAATTATACTTTGTTTATTGCATCTATGAACTTATAGATAAAAAATATGCAGAAAGTGTATGTATAATATAGGAATTAGCCAATGCTGTGTGCTTGTTCTGGAAATGTCTTTCAAGATGACTTTTTTTGTGGCTAATTTCTCACGGTATACTGTATACAGCTATTTGTGGCTTTATCCATGGTTAGTTTTCCAAGGGTCTGTTACTCAGGATTACCCCCCCCCCCCTAGAAGGATGTGACACATCTATAGCTGACGTGTTTCAGTGTCACATCATCACCTCAAACTCCAGGATAGAAGGTGTTCAAGTATCCGCTGTGCACAAAAAATCGATATCAGTTTTTATTGTTATATTCTCCCAGTAGAATATCACAGTTTCAGGAAGTGCAAAATGTCAGCAGCAAGTGTCAGAATGAAAGAGCATGACCTTCTTTCTTGTCTTATCATTTTACACAAATGTGAAGGGAAAGAAGTCCATGGTGAATGTACTGTACAGATTTCTCCCACGCTCTTACTTATTCTTTATTCTTTATACTTATTCATTCTTCTTTACATTACATTTTAATCATCATAACTCCCGGATTGCCTTAAGTTACTTGAAAAACTGTATGAGAAAAGTTTTGTATTTATATTCCTGTCCTCTCCTCTCAGCTCTGTGTCAATATGCAGCCGTTGTCTTGAAATTGCACAATGATTATGCAACCATTGCTCTCAGTCCAGTCAATAATAACCTCCCTGATGCGCAGAGGAAATAGAATTTTAAATGAGATGTGAAGCATAAAGTAGCTTTGATGAAATATGATTATTTTGAGCTTGGATACGAGTAGGTCTCCTGTCAGAATCACCCGTTGTTCATGATTGGAATTTAAATGTCTAAACGTTGAAGTGTTTATAATGAAATAATATATATATATATATAATATAGAACATTTATTGTCATCATACATCGGTATAACGAAATTTAGTTGGCATCTCTCACTGCAGTAATATACATAGACACAAATACATAAAAGCAGTGATACAAGCAGAGGTAGCAGCGATGCAATGCAATGAGAAGCCAATGAGATTAAATGAAATGTCAACGACGTACATATTTACACATTAAATAAGACTATAAAATGAAAATATACCAAGATACAACATTTTAAATATAACTGTTCGTAAATAGATGCTAAAAGTAACCATAGATGCTTACATCAAAATTAAAAAGGTCAATTTAATGGCACTTTTTGTTGGCAATTTTATGATATTTCCCCCAATTTAAATATTTAGATTTGTTAACCTAAAAAAAAAAGAAATGTTACTAGTACATTTTTTGTATTTCTAAAAAATGTTTTCCTTCAGATTGATGATAACTGCTCCCCTGGGAATAACTAACAACATGTCCATAGTATTTACACTTCTGGCTGTACTTTCCCCCTAATAAATGAGGAATCAGCTGATCAAATAACACAGAAGTAAATTAGGCACAGTAGAAGTTTCTTAGCCACAAAAAAAAAAAAAAATCGTGTGTGTTTTTTTTTTTTTAAACGTGGTCTCTATTTCCAGGCGCCCCATGGACTACTACACCATGGAGCTGAGTGAGCACGCAGAGGGACTGTCAGATCTATAATCCAGGCGTCTGGAGGTACTCGTGTGCGTGGGAGGACTTCATCAGAGGGAGCGGGCGGTAATCAGAGGTTAATCTGACCTGAACGTAACTGATTATGCGGTTGTTAAAAACAGGTTCCACCACAAGTGTCCTTCTGAGTGTCTTTGAGTGGCTCACTGATGAAATGACTCGGGATTGTCTTGTTAACAGCCTAGTTGTGTCGAGTCTGTGCGGTATATTCCATGGCACTGTTGACATTTCGACAGCAATCCATGAATCTAATAAGAAACGCCAGATAATACCATATTTTTATAAAGGTCGATGTGCAACCTTTGCCTGTGAACAGTGCTGGTTACTACTTTTAAAGGAAGAGAAAAGGGAGCATTTTCTTTTTAATACTTGAGTCATTTTTGTTGACTTGTTCATGTTGTATTTAAAAATATAAGAACCACCATGCTATGCAGGAAGCTCTATCAACATAATGACTTTCATCACATTCAGATGTTATAACCAAGATAATATTTGTGACGCTCACATTTAGTCTACAAAGCGGTCCACTTCCTGCTTCGCTCTCCTGCTACATGCTGTAAAAACGTTAGGGCGTGATTGTGATTTTAATGTGAATGTCTTTTAGCTAACATGTGATCACCGTCGGTAACCACTTTTGTATGCTTACTTCAAGCAAACTGTTTACATTTTCTTGAACGGAAATTAGAAAGGGATGAGAGAGAGTAAATGAATAAAGCGTATTTGTTTTTGAGAAATGAAAAATGGCTTATTAAGAAAATCAGAAAAAAATATTTGTGATTTTTTTTTTTGTGGCTAAGAAACCTCTACTGTGCCTAATTTTACTTCTGTGTTATTTGATCAGCTGATTCCTCATTTATTAGGGGGAAAGTACAGCCATAAGTGTAAATACTATGGATATGTTGTTAGTTATTCCCAGGGTTGGCAGTTATCATCAATCTGAAGGAGAAAATATTGTCAAAATACAAAAAAAACATCTATTTTCAAAGTTTTGATTCAATTCTTTTAAAAAAATATTTAAATTGGGGAATTAATCATAACATTTCTAATACAAAGTGCCATTAAATAATCATCTCAGCCTGGATATGATGTTCTATTTCTAATATTGCTTACCTTGTAACGTTCATCTGCTGTAGTGCAAATCATTTCAGTTACCTTGTAAATACATTTGAAAAGAAAGCTAGATTTTAAAACAGAAAAATCATGTAAATGAAATCCTCTTTTGTAAGGAAACCCCCCGCCCCCCCCGGAAATTATGCTATGTATAAATGTCTTTTATTGTAAACTTCTATATTTCTAGGTTGTATGTAAAACGGTACATTATAAAGAAAAATAAAAAAAAGGGAAGGAAGAAATTGCACTCAAAATAATATGTTGGCGTGGAATTAAAAGTGATGTGTTCGCACTGAAGACGCTACACAATGATGAAAAATGCAAACAAAATGTGATGAAGCACGTGTTCACATCAATCATAAGTTGAAATCTAACTGTAGGAGAAACCACAAACTTTTCATGGGTACGAAAAGTCTCTCATAGCAGCAGAGAGAAAGAACATTTGAAAGAACATGCTTAATGCTTTTCCACCCTGGGACACAATTTAAATGCTTTATTTGTGTTTCTTTGCCGTCTTATTTTCCTTCCAATGTCATGCACATGTAGCAGGTTTGAAATAAAACACTTCAGCTGATGTGCAATTTGTGCAGCCTCCCAGTCCTTTTTCAGCATGTCCTGTTTTACGAATTACCTCACGCTGCTCTCGGGCGAAGAAGTACCTACATAATGATTTTGTTTTTGTTTTGTAGAAAAGCATTCACTCACTTCCCTTTCTGCTGTGCAGTACCTACACATTATATATAATATGTTTTGAGACTTCCTGCCAAGATAAACGTGGAGAGCTTTTTTCTCTACAATTTTCTAAACACCTTTTATAATTATGACCTCTCAGCATTTAAGTGTGTTTTGCTCTTGTAAGCTTACCAATCATATAGTGTGTCTCTTCTCAGGTCTTATTTGTGGTTCAACATCGCCTGCGTTTAAGGCCTAGCCTGCACAAGAACAAGGCAAATGATTTGTTTCATTTTTCACTGTTCAACCTGCAAACCACAACACAGGAAGTCAGATTAGGTAGACAGGAAGGAGCTGCAGCATGACACGCTTTCTCGAGCAGCAGCACTGACTTCAGGACGTTTATTTGACGTTTGTCCTCGGCCAGGTTTCACTCCTTTTAGATTCCTCCAACTCACACTTTCTCCTTCAGCTGCTTCCAGGACAATAATGGCGGTCGTGCACAAAGTATCCGTGTGGGCAGCGCTTCACATCCTTTGACGCCTACAGACCGCTTCAACAAGCCTGAGGTGAGTTATCTGAGCTTTGCTTATTGCACAAGGCACTTTATAATTGTCCCTTTTGACTCCAGCTGTTTTATTATGTTTCCTTTCAACCACGGCCTTGAGCATCCAGGACAATGAATATGGGATAAAAGAAATGCCTTACATTAAAATACAATACATCTGACATATTTGCACCTCATGCATCAACTGGCTTATTTTTTACAGTGTGTTGCTTGTGTTTTTTTTCCCAGACTTGTTTCTAGTAAATGTTTGGTCTCCCTATCACACTAACAACACATTTCTACAGTAACCGTATGTCATTGAGTTGTTTATGGCACTGAGACAGTCTGTAAACTTAGCAACGGATGCGTGCACGCTGTCTGAAGTACATTTGAGTTTTTGAACCGGCTTCCTTTATGAAAAGAGACGTGATCAGCGATAAACCACACAGGAAGGCCTTTGACATTTCTCATTTTGTGTCAGTGAAACCTCAAAACATACTTTTCATTTATATATCTGCAGTTCGTGACATGAAATCACACTTATCAACCCTATCAGTAGAACATTTACTAAATAAATGTAATACAATATGCTTTGCAACGATGGAAATTAAACAGTTTAGAAAATATATCAAATAATGTAGGATGTGTGTTTTAGTTTTAACAGCCATCACCCTAACAGTAAATCCTTCTGACAGTAAAGAGTACAATGTGTTGTGAGCCCCTGTTAGGCTTTTTGGGGGTTTCCCTTTCCTGTAGTGTGTTATAAAGTTTTTTGTGCATGTAAATGGTCTCTAAAATCCCAAAGTTCCCTCCCTCCCCTTCCCGAAACGCCACCTTTGGATTCCTTTGTTTACTTCCCGAACATAGTGACATAATTATGTAACACTCGTGCTCCTACTGGAAAGCGCTCCAACACTTTGTACATGATAGACTAAGGGGCGGGACATCTCTAAGCGGTTGACCAATCACAAGGTGTCCCCCAAGGTTCAGTTCTCGGCCCCCTCCTCTTCATCCATACCTCCTTCCCCTTGGTCACTTAATCCGCCGTCATGGACTTCAATTCCACTGCTTTGCCGACGACATCCAGCTCCTCACCTCCACCAAGTCCATCTCCGCTGCTACCCACTCCATCCTGACAAACTGCATCACTGAAATAAAATCCTGGCTCCAACTCAACTGCGATAAATCCGAAATAATCATCATTGGACCTAAAAAGCTCACCACATCTATCCATAACTTCACCCTCAACATAGACGGTTTCCCAGTCCAGACCTCCCCTCACATCCTAGGCATCATATTTGACCAAACCCTCTCCTTCAACAAATACATCAAACAGATCACCAAGACAGCCTTCTTCCACCTCAAAAACATCGCCCGTCTACGTCCATCCCTCTCCCCCATTGCTGCAGAAACCCTCATCCACGCCTTCATCACCTCCCGTTTGGCCTATTGCAACAGCCTCCTCTATGGTTCACCAAAAAAAATCAACAAACTTCAATACATCCAGAACTCCGCCGCCCGTCTACTCACCCACACCGGAATCCGTGAACACATTACCCCCGTCCTCATCAAGCTCCACTGGCTCCCCATCCCCCAGAGAATTCAGTACAAAATCCTCCTGATGACATACAAAGCCCTCCGTAACCTGGCCCCATCCTACCTGACTGAGCTCCTCCACAGACACACTTCCACTCGCTCCCTCCGCTCTGCTGCTGCCAACCTCCTGTCCCCCCCCCCCACCCGGACCAACCTCAAGTCCTGGGGCGACAGAGCCTTCTCCGTTGCTGCACCCACCCTCTGGAACTCACTACCCCAATCCATCAGAGACTCTTCCTCCCTCACCGCATTCAAAACATCACTCAAAACCCACCTGTTCAACACTGCATTCAACCACTGACCACCCCCCCCCCCCCCCCCCCCCTATTTTCTGTTTTTGTTTATCTCGTTCTGAATTTTTTTTCTTTGTTGTTTTTTATTCTCTGTCAAAGTGTCTTTGAGTTTCTAGAAAAGCGCTATACAAGTCTCATGTATTATTATTATTATTATTATTATTATTATTATTATTATTAAAACAGAGCTTGCCAGCTAACCAATCAGAGCAGACTGGGCTCTGATTTCAGACAGAGGGTGAAAAGAGGTGCTGCAGCATAGGCAGTATGAGAAAAATAAAGAGCTTTTTGAACATTAAAGCATAGAAACATGTCACAGTAGAGACACTACATACTAATTTGAAACCTGGCAATTAGCAGAATAGTTATTCTATAAATGCTATTATTCAAGGCTGCATCATTTGGAAACCTTTTGAATCATTTCTCTGAGTTTCTTATGAAAAGCGCTGCATTACATTTAGCACATGAGAAAAAGAGCCTTCAAAAGGGATCGTCGCTCTGGTATCAGCCATCTGTCGCCTCTTGTAAATTAATGATAGATTCTCAGTGCATATGCAGAAAGACGAATAGCCATCTGTTGATTAAATCTGTCTCTCTAAAATAGATGTTAACATTATCAGTGAAAGTTTTAGAATAAGTCCATACATCTCATTTTGTAAGTCATCTGTGTGGCTTTCAAAAGACATTCTGAATCAGTTTTGCATCACCCAATTGCAATATAAACTCACATTTGGAGCATTAATTAGACTGAGGACTGACATTTTCGGGCTGAAATTACAGTAAGACTTGTTTTCAATAATAATAATACATTTTAGTCCATGAAAGGTAAGGAAATCATCCAAAATATCTACAGTATGAGAGTTTCACAAAGTCCTAGGTATTGTCTTTAATGTCTAGTTTGTTCAGTTTATAACCCAAAGATTTTCAGTCACATGATACAAAACTCCATATTTGAAAGGTTTAAAACAACATTTTCTACAACATTTTCATGAAAGAAAATGACATTATGATCAAAATAGGCGATAATGCTTCTGAAGATGAACTAATCGCTGCAGTTCTAGTTTATTTCTTCACCTCTTTTTATCCTCACTGTGTAAGTAATGCTGTTTTTTATTGTGTAGACTAAACCAGGAGCATCTGGTGGGCAGAACATATCCAGATTCCTCATGGAGAGGAGGGCCCACTACGATTCTATCCTGGATCGAAGCAAACGCATCACGTGGCAGGACGACTGCTACGTGGACCTTCAGTCGACACCCTGCTCCGTCTCTTCAAAAGCAGAAACAGAGGGTACGAGTTTCAGAATCATCATGTGACCTTTTTGGTTCATTTCCTGTGTTTAAAACTCCTTTAGATTAGATTAGATTCCTTTATTGTCACTACACAGAGTACAGCGAAATTCCAAGCATTCCCGATGGTGCAATCACACATAACAGACAGTATAAGTATAATGTTGACAATACAAGCTACAACTTTTAATATATAATATATAAAGTGACTATAAATTCGACCTATGATACATTGAACAGTACGCTTACAAAACAATACAACATTACCATACAAGAACAATACATTCAAGGCAGTAAACAAGTCAATAAGTACATGTATTTATCAGTGCAGTTCATAATTACAAAACTAGAAATAAATATGTGTTCTATAAAAACGGTATGAGGTAGAATATAAGGTGCAGTTGGTTGTAAACATGTACTTAGTTGAGCATCAATTCAGTTCAGTTCCATTAGTGCTGTGATTGTCTGGCTGTGTTCAGCTCACGTATGGCACTGGGGTAATAGCTGTTCTTATGTCTATTTGTCCGGGATTTGATGGAGCTGAACCGTCTTCCCCTTTATTTTGAGTTATCCTAACTGTGGAGGTTGGATGGAAAGGCTCATAATGGTGAAGATTGCAGTGTTTGATCAGAAATAGGTTTATTGCCAAGTAGGTTAACACATACGAGGAATTGACCTTGGTGTGCATACATTCACACAGTTAAAGTAGATAAAAAGTAAGACTGACAACCTAAAAATGTAATAAAAACGTTTGAAGCTATTGAATGTTAAAGGTAGGGTAGGTAAGTTTGAGAAACCGGCTCGAGATACACTTTTTGTTATATTCCATGGAATGCTCTTAACATCCCGATAGCAATGAATATCTTAAGTGCTTTGACAAAAAATCCATAAAAAAATGTCATCTGTGGAAGCCGTAGTACTGTAATTATTATTGTGGAAGCCGTAGTACTGTAAAAAGCACAACCAATCATTTTAGCCGGCCTGGCTAAAATAACTGGATGGCCTACCTGCCTGTCAGCCTTCCATCGGGGCACAAACTTATCTCGTGCCCTCATTGGTCATGTGCGCGTTCGTGTGTGTTGGAGGAGGGGCTTTGTAAGGAAGTGCCAGATTTTCTCCGGTTGTGTATTTTCAAATTCTAGCGATCTCGAGGCGGTTTCTCAAACTTACCTACCCCACC